GTGGTGCTTCAGAAAGGAAAATAATTTAAATTTCCTCATTTCCATGGGAAACTCTCCTGCCTTTGAGCTGCCCTTGCTGAGCTCTGGTTCCCAGGGCAGAGCAGGAGCTCAGGGGTGGTTCAGCAGACACACAGACAAATGGGGCACCCCAAAGCCTCCAAAGCAGGAGGTGACCTTGCCATGGAGCAGCTGAAACCTGAGCAGCAGCTGGAGGCTGGGAGCAGAGCCCCAAGCTCAGGGTGAGCTTGGGCTTGTGCCACTCCTGAAGGAATTTGGGATTTCGGGGCAGCTGTGCTTGGAAGCAGTCCAGGGCATTACCTGGCATGGATCTGAGACTTGAAAAACAGATTAACAAAGAAGCAAATGGAAGGGTAACAATAATGGATTACAGAAACACTTCTCTCGCTTGCCTGCCCTCAGCCAGGCTGCACGTGGGGTTTGGGACCCAAAGTTTGGGGTTATTTGGTGGCTGAAGTCAGAAAGGTTTGGATAGAAATTCATTCCACGCTGCTTCTGGGCTGGTGTGATGTTTGATTTCTGGTGGTAGGGATGCTTCTCACCCTGCTGGGTTTTAGCCCCACTTTGTTTGCCCACAGACCCTTCTGTCAGTGACCTGAGGGATCTCCAGGCCCTGACCAGAGCTGGTATTAGCCCCAAACTCATCTGTGCAACCAGAGGGAATCCCAGCTCCAACCTGAGATGACCAAACCCCACAAAAATGCAATTTCTGGCGTGTGAAATAATGTTGATGGAGGAGTTAAAGTGCACAAACAAAGTCTGCACCTTCCCCTCAGATAAATTGTTTTTTCGGGTTAATCTGGCATAGCATGAACAGCTCCAAATGTGCAATAACTCACGGACCCAGAGCCTTTTCATCTCACACAGAAACGACCTGGGCTGTTCTTTCTCCCAAATAAGGAATTCATAATGCAATATTGTTGTTTCCAAGGAGCTCAGCTTTTCTGAGGAGTGCCTTCTCCCCCTCCTCTAGCGCCAATGAAACACATGAACATTTGGAGCCTTTAATAACCTGGCGCAGCCTGCTCTTGATTTCTCTGAGAGCTGCCAATGATTTTGGTGTCAGGGCCGCGAGGTACAACGGCAGTGTTGGATTTCTGCAGGCAGAGCAGTTGAAAGGGAAGGTCAAAAGCAATAAGGGCCGGGTTCCTGGGGCGGGAGGGTGAGCAGCGTTTCCCCAGCCCTCTTGCCCAAGAAAACGTTTGGCTGTCACAAAACTAATAAAGGAAAACCTCCAGAGAGGTGGGCTCGGAGCTGCAGGTGTAGGAACGGGGCTGTAGTCACACACAAGGCAGCTTAATAGCGTGGGATTTCTGCTCAAGTGCTTCTTAATGCAGCACAAATGGAATCCCCAGCACGGGGAAAGTGTTGGAGGGAAAGGATTTTATGGCTTTTGGGGGAGAAAGGGCTTGGCTCTCCTGTAGGGGACGTAAAGGACAGCGAGATGGATTTCTTGGGGTGCTTGCCATGTGAAAGCAGTGCTTTAGGTATGTGCAGAGGGTTCAGGGCCAGCCTCCAGGCTGGTTCTCTCTGCCTCCCAAAGCAGGGTTTGAGGGGATTTGGGCAGGGTTTCTGCCATGTATCTGGCAACACGGGCTTAAAATTAATTCACTGAAACAGCAGATAAAGTTTGGGTTCTTTAAAGCTGTGATATTAAATAGAAGTCCCGGAGCAAAGCAGCCAGGTCTCGTGCTGAAGGTCCCATCCTTGCCCTGCCTCTCTGCTGCCCTATAAAACAACAATTATGTGTTTAAAGTTACTGCTCATGTCCCTTATAAAAGAAGACTTACTCATAAACTTCTGGATAGACAGTTCTGTGGGAATATAACTTCCTTGGCCTGAACCAAGCTGCCTTTTCCAGATAACGGGATGCTATACAGGCTCTTTAAAGTCTGATCATGCTATTTATTATTATTTTATCATCTATAAAAGACACCAGTGTTGAACCTGGGAGTGACACTACACTCAAATCATCAGGAAAGACAGGGAATACCCCAAGGAGAGCTGCTGTTCCCAGAAATATTCACTGACAGGTGCTGGGGATGCTCAGGGCTTGGTGCAGGGCTGCAGCTCCTCTCTGCAGGCTCAGGGCCAGGGCATTGCCATGGGCACACCTCAGTTTTGGGGTGGGATTTGCCAGATGCAAGTTGGGCATTGCTGAAATGGGCTTGGATGCAGCCCTGCAGCTGCTGAAGTCAGGGCACAGGAGCTGGTCCCACACACATGCACATGCCTTAGAATTCTTTTAATGGGCTGAAATCAGCATTTACTTCAGGACCCAACCTTCACATGGTTGTGTTTGCTGTCTGAATATCTCCACTGAGGGAATATCAGCAGTGAGGGATCAGCAATGGGATCAGCAGTGGGATCAGCACTGGGGTCAGCAGTGAGGGATCAGCAGGGGATCGGCACTGGGATCAGCATTGGGATCAGCACTGGGATCAGCAGTGGGATCAGCAGTGGATCAGCACTGGGATCAGCAATGGATCAGAAATGGGATCAGCAGTGGATCAGCCCTGGGATCAGCACTGGGATCAGCACTGGGATCAGCCCCTGGATCAGCAGCTGGATCAGCAGCTGGAGCACTGACCCAGAGCCTCTAACACAGGGATTTTCAGGAGCATGGCATTTACTGCAGCCTGCCTTGATTACTTGCTCAGTAATTGCACAGGGATTTCTGCTTCCCACCTTTCCCTGGGATGCAGTTGGGATTTGTATTCCTGGAATGTTTCCTTTTGCACGAGAGCCTTTCCTTTGTTCTCTTCTGACTCCTGTTGACTTTAAGAATGGTTTTGATTCCTGAGCCTCTCTTTGAGGGTTTCTTGTCAGGAGGAATATTTATATTTCATAGCATTTCAGCAAAAAAAAGGCAAAGCAGGCAGGAACCTCAGAATGCAGAATTCCTGTCAGATCCTATCCACAACTTCAGTGGGGAAAGCATGTGAAACACTCAGGTTTAAAACCTTCAGATCCTTCTAATCTGCTGTTCTGTGGTTCAGGGGGGAAATGTGGGCAGCAGCTGCTCTGTGTGGTGTGAGGGGAGCTTGGGGATGTGTGTGAGCTGGGACAGCCCTGTGTCCCTGGAGCTGTGTGTGTGTTGGGGACAGCCCTGTGCTCCGGGCTCTGTGTGTTGGGGACAGCCCTGTGCTCCTGGCTCTGTGTCCCTGTGTCCCTCAGCTGGGACAAGGACAGCACTTGACCTTTTTGGCTTCAGATTTTTTAATTCCAGTCTTTTCCCAGGGGTTGAACAAGGTTTGTTCACTTTGCTGTCCCCTCTCTCAGTGTGTGCCCTGCAGTTCCCTCCCTCTGCTCTGCCCATCAGCAATCCTTTATCAGCCTTCCTGCTGGGGATAATTTGGGGTTTATGTGCAGTTTTTCTTGGGACTTGTCAAAGAATAATTACACCCCATTAACTCCCCCCTGTATCATTAGTAATTCACACCTAGGGAGTATTTTCCAAGCAGCTGATCTCAGTTGTCTCTTAATTGCTGCAGTCCATAAACTCTGTTACACTGAAACTGTGTGAAGGATTTGCACCCTCTAAAACTTCTCCCTCCAGTGCAAAACATAACAGAGAATGGGAATGTGGCAGCTTTATCAGATCTTACTTCTTCCCTATTTAGGCAACTTATTTGCTTCTGGTTCTGTGGAAAACTCTAAAATGTATGTTAAGGTGTAAAAAATTTGAGACTGAAAGGGTGAGGAAGTTGTGGCTGCTCAGCCTGGAGAGGAGAAGGCTCCAGGGAGAGCTCAGAGCCCTTTGCAGGGCCTGAAGGGGCTCCAGGAGAGTTGGAGAGGGACTGGGGACAAGGGATGGAGGGACAGGACACAGGGAATGGCTCCCACTGCCAGAGGACAGGCATGGATGGGATCACAAATGGTTTCAGCTGAGCATAAGAGAAAAAAATCCTGCTGGTGGCCACTCTTATTTCCCTGGAAAAAAAAAAAATCCTGGCCTCCTGGCAGAGGAATAGTTTCTGCACAGAAAACATGACACTATTTACAAAAATCAGTGTCTAATATCCTTTTCCAGTGTGGAAGGAGGAGTTTATTTCAATACATCCTTTTTTAATTGCCATGAGCTGGACTTGTAAATACTGTGAGTGGTTGAGTAATAGTTCTCAGTGAGCAGAGAGAGGAAGGGACAGGTTTTCCACCCTTGGAAGCCTCTGCATTCCCTCAGCTCGGGCAGGGAGACTGCACACAGCAGATACTGAACACCAATGAAAGCCTCCTAATTAAAAAATCATTGAAGCCCAGGGGATGCCCATGGGGGTGATGGCAGTGCCCAGCACAGGGATCCAGCTGGGTGAGGAGTTTGTTTATTGGGGGTGGTTTGGGAGGTGGATCCAGGGTGTTCTCACTCAAACATTTCTTCCTTTCCTCTAAAAATGGGAGAGAAAGAGGAGAGTTAAGGGGAGAAATGGGGAATTAAGGAGAGGGGAGGGATCCCATTTTGTACAATCTCATTTGTCATTGACCTCAGCTGGGTTCAGTGGGTTTGGGGCAGGATGGGGCATACAGAGGTGGGGCAGGGCACTGTGGGGTTCTCTCAGGGCTGGATGATCCCTGTTCCCCAGGTCAGGTCCATGCCTAACAGCCCAGCCCTGCACAGAGTTCTGTCTGAAAGCAGGAGTACTTTGTGTTGGAAACAATTTCCTGCTGCAGTGTGGATTTCCTCCTGGATAATCCTTTGCCCCAGTGGGATGGTACAGAGGGATTCCAGCAAAGCTCAGCTGGCCTGGCTGTGAGTTAAACACATCCCTCGGTGTTTCTGTGGCAGATGTGCAGGGAGGAAGGTACCCCACAGCCCTGCTGGGAAATTCTGATTTGTGGGGTCAGGAAGGGAAGGAATCCCTCTGCCAATGTGGGGTTTGGGTCCAGGTCTGTGCTCAGGTCACCAGTGCAGGCCTGTGGGGGTGAGCAGGGGGAGGAGGAGGATATGAATCACAGAAATGCTGAGCCTTGCTGTGTCCCTGCAGGGATGCTGGTGGTGATCGTGCTGCTGCTCATCGCCATCGCCGTGGTCGCGCTCTGGCCCACGGGGTAACCCCGACCCTGCTGGGGCAGCTGCTCCAGGGGAGCCCCAGGGCTCGGGCAAGGACCTGCTGAGGGCAGGGATGAGCTCCATCCATCGCTGGGAACAAACTCCACATCTGGGAATGACCCCACTGAGCAAACTGAACAAACCCACAGCCGGGAATGACCCCACTGCAGCAGCCTGAGGCAGCCCCGCTCTCCTTGGCCAAGGAGCTCAGTGAGACCTGCAAGATTTCAGTGGGAAAGGATTTCATCCCATTAACAGGATTTCATTGCACTAACAGGATTTCATCCCACTCTTCCCACCTTCCCGTGGCTCTCAGGCAGCTGCAGCTGTGGGGTGGACCCACCTGTCCTGCACCTGGGCCCAGCTGGTGCTGCTGCCCTGCCCATCTCCTGAGCTCAGACATGCCAGGGGCTCCAAACACCGAAATGCAGGAGTGCTGTGGAGAACAGCCACATTCCCTGCTCTGGGATCCCTCCTGCAGAGGGAAATGCTCCATTCAGGGAATGTCCTGGGGAGTGGCTGCCTCTGGATTCCCCCAGGATGGGAAGGGACAGCCCTGCAGGAGTCCCTGGGCTGCACAGAACCATGGGGACTGGGTCAGTGCTCAGCCTTGGGGAGGCTTGCTGGGGTATTGATCCCCAGGGGTGGTCATTGGTGGGTTATTGATCCCCAGGGATGGTCATTGGTGGGTTATTGATCTCCAGGGACGGTTATTGGTGGGTTATTGATCCCCAGGGACAGTTATTGGTGGGTTATTGATCCCCAGGGATGGTTACTGGTGGGATATTGATCCTCAGGGATGGTCATTGGTGGGTTATTGATCTCCAGGGGTGGTTACTGGTGGGTTATTGATCTCCAGGGATGGAGTTATTGGTGGGTTATTGATCTCCAGGGATGGTTATTGGTGGGTTATTGATCTCCAGGGATGGTTATGGGTGCGTTATTGATCTCCAGGGATGGTTACTGGTGGGTTATTGATCCCCAGGGATGGTTATTGGTGGGTTATTGATCTCCAGGGACGGTTATGGGTGCGTTATTGATCTCCAGGGATGGAGTTACTGATCTCGGATGGGAACTGAACAGCAGCAGGACTCAGCCCAGCCTGTGAGAGTGAGAGCTCTGCCCTCGTGTGCTCCCCAGAGGGCTCTGCCAGCCTGGCCCTGGGAGATGCAGCACAATTAACGTCCTCACTGAGCTCTGGCTCTTCCTTTGACAGCTTCTCACACCCTTCTACAGCTGAGAGGAAGGATTACCTGTTTCAAAACTAATGAAAAAGAAGTATTAAATGTTTGCTTCTGGCCAAGAGAATAATTATTTTGTTACACATGTCAGTTTGATTTCAGGATTAATAGAGCAAGCAATAAATACTGATTAAAGCTGATCCATTTCTATACAGTTTCTCTGCCTGGGGTTTTATTGTTTCCTCCTATCTTGTGTTGTCTGTGAATGATTTATCCAATGCTGCCATGTCCTAAGAGCTGGTCTGGAGAAGGAAATAAGCAATTTCTGTCAGACTTTGTGTGTATTATGGCAGATCTGCCACTCTTGCAAGGGCTGGCCCTCACCTGGGATCCCAGGGATCCAGAGCTTCTCTTCTTCATCTGTCACAGGTGCTGCCATGTCCTGCAGCTGTGGGAGCTGTCCGCTGGATCCAGAGAGATTTCCCTGTCTTTGTGCTCCCAGAGAGGGACAGGAGAGAGGAGCCTGGGGGAGAGAAAGGCCCAGAGATGCAGCTTCAGCCAGGGCTCTGTGCCCATCCTCAACCCTCAGAGCTGGAGGCTGGAGCTCCTCTGGGGCTGTCTGTGCTCTGCTGCAGAAACCCTTGGAGCCTTTCCAAGTGCAGCCCAGGCTGTGCCTGCTCAGCTTTCTTGGAGGGATGTTTCACCTCGGGGCTGTCAGCGAGGGCAGGGGCAGGCAGGGCTGGTTTGATGTGCTCTGGTTTTCCAGAGGACAGGCAGGGGTTTCATGAGTTATTGCTGAGGTCAGATTAGCAATGGAGCTTTGGGCAGGGCTGCTCCAGCTGGAAGCAAGGAAAGGTTTTGGAGAGGAGTTCCAAATCCCTGCATTCCTACAGCTCTGTGGACACTGGGAATGCTCCTGGAGCTGTTCCTCAGCAGCAGCCTCCAGACCTGGAGCAGGATTTCAGTGCCAGCTCTGGAGCAGCCCCGTGGACCTTCAGTGACAGCCAGAGAGCAACGTGGGCTTTGTTCAGAGGAGACCATGGGCCTGGGATGCTAATTAAAGCTGCCACTTCTGGGCTGCTAATTAAAACTGTCACTTCTGGGCTGCTAATTAAAACTGCCACTTCTGGAGGGAATTAGGGCTTTGTTTGAGTTCCCAGGACACGCAGGATGGACGTGGAACTCACCCTGGTCAGTGTTCCACAGCACTTTGTTCTGACCCAGGCTTTCAAAGCTTTTCTGACCCACTGGGTCCTCCAGCACATTTTTCTGTGAGCTCCAGGGAAGTGTGGAAACAGCAGGAGCTGCTCACTGTGCTGGCCACAAAGGGGTTCTCAGCCTTGCCCTTTAGGTAGCATTTAACGTGTCTTGTGGGTGAGGAATTTGATTAAAAAGCGGTGGGTTTGGCAGCACTCTGCTGTGTGCAGGGAAGCTTTTCTGTCTCCCTGCCTCACTAAAGAAAAAGCAAAGTTAAAATACGACAGACACCAGGGTTTGGCTCCCAGCAGCAGTGGAGGAGCCAACCTGGAGTGGCTTCCCAGGCAAAGATCTTCCTGGAATGTGCCCAGAGACATCCCAGCCTTGGCCTTCCCTGCCACCTCCTCATCTCTCTCCTGGAGTGCTCAGGGGTTCAGCAGCTTCCAGACCAACAATCCCAATGCTGGGGGCAGCTCTGGTGTGTGCCCCAGGCACCTGGATGTCCCAATGCCCTGGGAGAGATCCCCACCTCCTGCAGGGATCATCCTGGAATGCTGCTGGGCATTTTCCCCTTCCCTGGATCCTGGGCTGAGCTGGGTGTGTGGATGGCTCCTGTCCCACTCTGCCTGCTGGGACCAGGCTGGGAAAATCACTCCAGGTCCAGCCCTCCGTGGGAAAGGCCTCATCCCCCCCTTTCCAGAGGCACTGTGTCACCTCTGCACAAGTGGCCACCTGCAGTCTGGGAGCCCATTTGCCCCTGGGAGCAGAGGGCTGGCACTTGTGACCCGTTTGTCTCTGCAATAAAGATCTGACATTTCCGCCTCTGTCACGGTTTTGGGTTCATAAATTCCCAGCCCTGCTGAAGGCTCAGGTCAGCTGGGCTGACCCCAGCACTTGGCAGCACCTTTTGCCTGGAGTTTTGTCCCTGGAAGGGTTTTGGTGCCTCAGTTCCCCCCACCTCCAGCTCTCTGTGCTGTCAGTGCCACCAGCCCTTGCCTTGCACCAGTGCTGGTCCCGCTGATCCTGGATGGGGCTGGGGGAGCTGAGGGAGCCCTGAGCCCTGCAGGGTGGGCAGGAGGGGCCAGCAGTGCTCAGCAGCCCCTGGATGGAGCTGGGGGAGCTGCCAGAACCCTGCAGAGTGGGCAGGAAGGGCCAGCACTGCTCTGCAGCCCCTGGATGGGACAGAAATGGGGCCAGAGCGGGGCTGGCAGCTGTCCTGACTCCAGGCTTTGGCTGTCCCCACCTGACCCCAGCTCCAGGCAGGGTCCCAGAGGTTTTGGCTCTGTCCCTCTGCAGGGCACAGCTGAGCCCACAGGGGCTGCTGGGGACCCCCTGCCACGCACCCACGGTGACCCCGCTGTCCCCAAGGCCAGTGGCCCCAGTCTGGGGGTGCTGGGCAGGGACAGGGCAGGGACTGCCAGTCCAAAACAGCTGTGCCACCTCAGGCCTGCCTGGGGACACTGACAGAGCCAGGGGTGGAGGGGACACCATCATTTCCCTGCCCGCGTCCTTGTCCCACAGACTCACTGAACCATGGGGTGGGAAAAAGCAGAAATTCCTGAAGATTTTTACAGTTTACAAGAGTTTATTCAACTGGTTTCTGACTTTAGTTCTACCGAGGGGGTGCTGAACAGTTACAAGCTCCTTCAGGTCAATTACAGCCAATCTAACAAACAAACAAACAAAAGGGAAAAAAAAAGGGAAAAAAAAGAAACAACTTGGAAAACAATAAGAAAATCCACAACTTCTTCACGTGTCATTAAATATATTCATATATAATAACCATAATATATTAGTATGCATTGTAAAGAAACATCGCCCAAAGCAGTCTGCCATGGTCATAACTAAACAACATTTACAGTTCAAGATATTAACAGAAATAATAAAAAAAAAAAAAAAAACAAAACCAAAATAAAACAACCCCAAAAGGAACACAGGTTTGTGAGGGGGTGAGGCGGGGCGGGAGGGGCACGGACACACGGACAAACAGAAACGAGACCAAGCCACGTCTGTGGGGTGCTACGGTCAGTGATGATTGTTTTGGCATTTCAGCTGCTCTCCAAAGCCTCCCTGAAGGCACCACAGCCCCTTCCCCGCTGCCCCGGGGGTGCCACTCCTGTCCCCAGGGCGCTGGGTGGCCCTGGCTGGGTCCGTGCTGGTCAGAAGGGGATTGGTGCCCCAGAGCTGCCCCTGGCCAGGCAGGTGCTGAGGGGGCATCCTGTCCCTCTGGGGGAGCAGCAGAGGGGTCCTCCTGGGGGTGTCCTCATGGAGATGTCCTCATGGAGATGTCCTGATGCAGGGGGGCTGCAGGAGGAGCTGCTCCTCTGGACCCCAAAATGGGGCTGCTGTGCCCTCCCAGCTGAGGCTGCTCCAGTTGCACCAGTTCCAGCAGGTCAGGATTACTGGGAGCACATGAAGGGCACTGGGACCGTGGATGGAGTGAGGTGTTGGTTTGCCTGGGCTGATGGAAAGCACAAAACTCCAGCAGGGATGGAGAGACAGGCCTGGGGACAAGCCTGGGGGCTTCCCTCCTGTGCCAGCGTCCAGGCTGCTGTGCCAGCTCATTTCCCTCTGAGCCCCCAGGCTGTGACAGGGCTGTGGGGTCAGGCGCTGGGGGCCTTCCAGGAGCAGTGGGAGCAGGGAAGGGGCTGGAGGGTGTCCCTGGGGGGTTGGGGTGTCCAGGCTGTGCTGGGAGGGTGCTGTGCTTGACAAGGGTGGAAACTGGGAGTGAGCCCTGGGTGTCCAGGTGTGCTATGGGCAGTTCCTGAGTCCCCAGGTCCCCTGGCCTTTCCTTCCTGCTCTCCACATGGAGAACTGGCTTTGGGTTGGATTCTGTTACCTTTAGGCACCGTTTGAGGTTTGGGGACATCCCAGCTGCCTGAGGATGTGCTGTCCCACCCTGGCAGCAGCTGATGGTGACTGCAGGAGAGCATCCAAGCCCTGTTTTGGGGCTTTAAGCCTCCATTTGGACACTTGAGGTCAGATTTTATCCCTCAGAACCTGGTGGCTTCACTTTCCTTGGCTGCAAAACCCTCAGCTCTCCTTGAGGTCTGAGATAAGGAAAACCAGGTCCAGCGTGGAAAAGGGGAGAAAACACAGACTTGGTGGGGGGAGCTGCTTGATGTCCAGGGTGGGATTTTTCTCCTAATACCCAGATTAATTTTGGGGCCTTGTGGTGTCAGGGGAAGCTCAGCAGAGCTGGGTCCCTCCGGGTGGTGTTTCCAGCAGCCCCAGGAGCCTCCTCTTTGCACCTATTTACATGGCTGCCCTGCTTTATGGTGGTTTATGTCATTATATAAATATTGTCAATTGCTATAAAACAAGGCAAAACCACTGGAAAATGTCATAAAATAGATGTTTCCAAGTTTCCTAAAAGGAAAAATAGCAGGGAGGTTTTGCTTTTCATAGCGACTAATGTTTACTTCTCCTCCAGGTACCGTCCTGCCCTCCCTGCCTTCCTGCCCAGCCATTCCTGCTCTGCCTGGAGGAGGTGGAATTGAAAATCCCCATTGCCCAGGGGCTGCTGTGCCAGGGGAGCAGCCTGGCATGGGGCAGCAGCCTGGCATGGGGATAGCAGCCTCGCATGGGGCTCACAGCTCCCAATCCAGTCCTGCCCACAGGGTGCCCCAGGGGAGGATGCTCCAGTCTGAGATGAGGCAGTCTCCACTGGGCTCAGTGCATTAATGACTGGAAATTGGGAATTTTAAATTGGCTGGTTACCCCCCCAGCAGAGGGAGGAGAGCTCCAGGTGGGTCACACCTGGCTCCTGGCTGACACCCCTTCCCTGGGTGGGCTCTGCACTGGCCCCATGCCCATGGGGACAGTCCCTGGCACTCTCTGCTCCCCTCTTTGTCTCCAAGACCTTCACAGGGATGTCAGGGACTGCAGCTCCAGAGGGAGCGAGGGCAGAGCTGCTCTGGGTTTGGGAGTGAAACCAGTGACCAGCCAGGACCCTGGTGTCCCCTGCAGGGATATTCTGCCAGCTGAGGGTTCCTGGTGTGCTGACAGCAGCAGAGGGGACCGAGCCCATGGAGGAGGTTCAGGGGCGGCCACAGTGGAGATTGAGGGACTGAGACTGGCAGGATCTTCACGGCACTTTGTGGGAACTGGATGCCAACTCATTTTTTGTCAGGTCTGGGTGTTTCCTTGGGGATCTTGGTTATTGACTCCTTGTAAGTGGGTGGCTGGAGAAGGACAGGGCACCCTGTGGGCTCTCACTCCTTCAGTGTGTTGGGGCAGCATCCTCAGGGCCGGGGGCTGAGCACGGAGCCATTCCCAGAGTTATGCACAGCAGGAACTCACCCACCAGCAGTGTCCCCTCTTGGCTGTGCCTACAGTGGACCCAGAGCACCATCACAGCCCCAGGCACCCCAGGTGGTGGCCAGGGCTGTGGGATTCCTCAGCCCCCCAGGACCCTGTGGGCTGATCCTAGGGTCTGTCCTCAGCAAAAGTCTCAGTTTAGTTTCCTCTACAATAGCTCTCTCAGTCAGCCTAAGTTGCAAGTACGTGTTTTGGGGATGGGGAGTTAATTTCCAGCAGTGCTGTTGATTAGTTTCTTACAGGGTGGATGTGCCCGTGCCGTGCTTTGGAGGCAGCAGATGTTGGCAGCTGGAAGGCAGTTTGGTGTCTCTGAGTTCTTCAGCAATGGGGCAGAAGGGAGCTGGGGGCCCCCAGGTGCTGCATGCCTGCACCCCACTTGTGGGCTCTGTCTGTGTGTGCAGTTGAGTTTTCTTGGGTTCTGTTGGACCCTGTTGGGTTCTGTTGGGTGTTGATGGGTTTTGTTGAGCTCTGTTGAGTTCTGTTGGGTCCTGTTGAGTCCTGTTGGGTCCTTTGGGGGTCTGTTGGGTTTTGTTGGGTCTTGTTGGGTCTTGTTGGGTCTTGTTGGGTTTCTCTTGGGTGTTGATGGGTTTTGTTGAGCTCTGTTGAGTTCTGTTGGGTCCTGTTGGGCCCTGTTGGGTTCTGTTGAGTCCTGTTGGATTCTGTTTGGTCCTGTTGGGTTCTGTTGGGTCCTGTTGGGTTCTGTTGACTCCTGTTGGATTCTGTTTGGTCCTGTTGGGTTCTGTCCCCCCTGGAATATGAGGTGCAAGCCCAGCACCCCCAGCCGTGGTCGCTGCCCCCCGTCCCCCCAGCCCGCCCTGGCAGCCGGTCCCTGCCCGCCCGAGCTCTACACAAAGCAGCATGCACAGTCAGTCTCTCCCTCTCCTCCTCCTCCTTTAGGCTTTCTTACACTTCCCCTTCTTCTCCCGCTGCTGGAACTTCCGGAGCCGCCGGGCCCACGTGTCCCGCCACTGGATCACCAGGCTGGTTTTGTCCGCAATGATGCCGCTCTGGTCGGGAGAGTCCTCGTTGTTGCCCAGCAGCAAATACTTCTTCATGGGCTTGATTTTGGGGCACTTGCAGGCGATGTCCTTGGAGTGGATCCACAGGATCTGGTCGCCGCGCCGGATGCGGTTGCTGCCCTGCTTGTAGACGGAGATGATGTTCACCGTGAACTTCCACCAGTCCGCATTCTTCTCTGCCTTCAGCACGTGGATCTGGACAGCTGGAGAAAAACAACACACAGGCAAGAGAGGAAAAGGTGTTACTGCTTGGGCTGGTGAGCAGACAATGAGCTTCAAGCCTTACCTAATGGGCTGTGTGAGGAGGAGGGATTTTGCAGCAGCCAGGGAATGTGGAGACCCCAAAATACTGTCCCCAGGCCACACCCCAAGAACAGGAGCAGCCACTGCTGCATCTGAGGGTCCAGCAGAGCTTCCAAGGGCACCACAGGCTTGGGAGATGCTCTCCAGCTCTGTGCCTGGCAGAGTCACTGAAACATCTCTGCAAGCATGGATGGCAGCTCTGGACTCCACCTCTGGTGTCCTGGCAGAGCACTGGGAGACCTCCAGCTCCCACAGCCAGAGGGAGGTGGGAGAACAGCCCTGATCCCTGCACAAGGTGCTGGTGATGATCATGATGGTGATGATGATGATGATGTTTTCCAAGCCCATGACCGATGCTGTGTAACCTCCTCTGCAGCCATGGACTGAGGAAACCTCAGCCCTTGCTCTTTCCTGGGGCAGGGCTAAAAATCAGCTCCCAGGAAATGCCTTCCCCAGGCAGGGCCTGCCCAGCCCTCCTGGGTTGGTTTGCCAGCTGCGGGTGAGGTTCCCCAGCAGGAGGGACCCAGGGAAGCCCCAGGTGAGGGTGGTCTGGCTGGGAGAGCAGGCAGGGGCCAGGCCCTGCACAGGCTGGCACAGCACCACCACAAAGAGCTTTTTTAGCCAAATCACTGTGCTTTTCCCTTTTCCCCACAGCTCCCTCCATGCCCTGGGAGCTGTAAACCCCTGCCTACTCACCTGCCTGTCTCAGCTGCCCCAGTGGGACCAATCCTGTTTGTATAAATTAACAGAGGAAGAAGGAGCTCCCAGAAACCTCAGAGAAACTATGCCCCTTGCCTTGTAACAGTCCAGTTTTCCCCCTGGATGGAGGAGCATCCCCCTGTCTCTGAAACCAGGTGATTCTGGGCTCTGGGAGGAAGCAGAGCTCTGCAGCCCAGCACAGCTTTTTAACACGTTGCAAAATATATGGGGTATTTTTTTCAGAGCGTGTCATGGAGGCCAGATGCTTTCATTAAAAAAAAAAAAGGAAAAAGGGAAAAAAAGGAAAAAAAACAACCCTAAGCTCTGACCATGTATTTCCCTGTCTGGTGTGAAGGTAACAAAATGTGAAGAGTAGCCAATTTTTATTTTTTGGAAACAAATCTTTCCAAAAAATCTTAAACCTTTGACCCGCCTGGGTCCACACTGACAAAATGGAGAAAATGAATGAAAAGGAACTGGAGAGAGGTGGTTACAGGAAACTCTGCTCTAAAACATACAGTCTGTATTTTTTTTTTTTATGTCAAGGCCCCTGTCTCTTATTTTTTCCCTTTTTATTAATGAAGTGGAAGGAGTGAAATCTTTGAGGAAGGCTTGGCTGGGGCAGGCGCAGCCGGATTTCTGCCCACAGCCTCACGTCCAGGACGCTCAGTTCCTCCTGAGCTCCAGGGGTGTTTGCCTGGCTGTTTCAGTGCTGAGCTGGGACCAGCATCTCCCAGGGGACACTGGACATGCAGAGAGGCAGAAATGGGCCAGGATGAAGCACCTAAGCTGGGTTTAAAGGCTCCCTTCCCATGAAGGAGGTTTCAGTCCCATCCTGATTTGGAGCTCTGGCTCATCTGTGCCTCCCAGTTCAAAGCTGGCTTTGGGGCTTGGGGCTGCCCTTCAGCTGCCCTCTCCTGGGACAGAGCTGGGCTTTGTGCTGAACTAACTGCTCTCCCCTGGCTGATGTTCCATTGAACCCCTGCTCAGGCCTGTCCCCGTCTCTGCATCCCTGGAAAAGCATCCCTGGAGAAACATCCCTGGCAAAACCCCTGGGGCAGCAGATGGAAGGTGATAGGGGGTGATTGTTCCTTCTGGGGATGGTGCTCCCCTTGCTGTGGTCCCCTGGGAGCAGGAGAACAAAATCAGAGGAGCTGCAGCTTCCGCAGCTCCAGCTGGGGCTAGTGACACTGGTTTCAGTGATGGGCTCTGGTTCAGACTGGTCACACTGGTTTCAGTGAGGATGGGCTCTGCTCCAGGCTGGTTTCAGCAAAGAGGGAATCCAGTCCAGCTCCTGATCCCACCTGTGCCTTGTGCCTGCTTCTCTATGACCTTTCCAAACTCTGGGCAGCTGAGCCCTGGGGGGAATCTGAGGCTCCTGCATCCCAGGCACTCCCAGAGATGCAGAGATTTTTCTCCAGGCTCATTTCCCTGCAGCCTGCTCTGCTCTCCAGGGAGCTCCCAGGCAGCAGAGGGGCCTGGGGAGCAGGGGGACAGCAGGGGGACAGCAGGGGCACAGCTGGGTCCTGGTGAGGGCAGGGGCTGCCTCAGGAGCCCCATCTCGCTTGACACTGACACTCCTGAAGCACAAATCCCACCTGGATGGGGCCTTCCAGCCCTCGCCACATTTTGTACTTTGCCAGAAGAAGGGGACAGAGTGGTCCCCAGGCTGGGGAAGGGGAGGGAGGGTCCCTCGTCCCCTCCTCCTGCATCCCCAGAGGTCAGGGATGCTCCCAGCTCCCCAAGGCCTGGCTGGGAGCCTCCAGCCACAAGAAAGCCCCAAAGGCTGGAAGCAGGAGATGAAAGCCCAGGGGTGGATGGTTTGATGTTAATAAAAACAAAACGCAGCCCAAAGCCTCAAAACAGCGTTTGAGGGCAGCTGCTGGAGGCTGAAAGCACAGCAGTGCCTTGCAGCATTCAGAGATCATCATGAGTCAGGGCCTCAAACTCCTTAGGCTGCCATGAAAACAGCAAGGCTGGAGAAAACTGAATTATTTAATTACTTTTTAAATTTACATTTGGGGTTTGTTTGTGAAAAATCTCCTGAGTTCAAGGCTTCCCCTGCTGAGGCTGACTCAGGGCTGGACTGCAGGGCCAAACCTGTGCATCCTGTGGTGGAATCCTGGAACATCCCACACATCCCCTGCACAGACCTGTCTGTGGGAGCTTGGGCACCACGGCTGGGCTGGCCCCGGAAGGTCCCAAGGAGGGCAGTGGGACACAGCACCTGGGGGGTGTTATTGAACATGGCCAGGTGGGAGGGCATGCTGGGGACAGCCCTGGCAGGCCCAGATGTCCCAGTCCAGGGCAGGGTCTCCAAAGGCTTGGCTCCCCTCTCACTGCACAAGTGCAGCGGAGTCCATGTGGATTCTATTCCAACCAGCAGCAAAAGGTGACCCCGACACCATCTGGGTTTGGGAATGTAAAGGGCTGGCTCCTCACTGGAGCAAAGTGTTAAAATGGGGATTTTTTCCCCCCTTTTTCCAGTTTTTAATTTATCTGGCGGCGGCTTTGCCTCACTCAGGTTGCCAATTTCCTACTGGTTTAATATTGGAGATTTATGATCCCTAATCCCTGGGTGTGTCCTGCTGCTGGGGGACCTTCACTCCCTCAGCATGTGGCTCCAGCAGGGACTGCTCAGCCCCAGGAATGGGATTTCTCCACCTTCCCAGCAGTGCAAGGGGCTCTGAGCGCGGGGCTGGTGCTTCCCCCTGCCCTGGGTTTTTTTTGGGATTCGGGTTTTTCTCCCCCTCCCTCCCTCTTTTCAAGCTGCCTTTTGAAAACACATTTTGCTTTTTTCCAGAAGCCCCTGCCAAGCTCCTCTCGACAAAGGGGGTGACTAAGAGAAGGCTCCGGTGAAGGAAGGATTTTTTTACTTTTTTTTTTCCAAGAAAGGGCAAAGTGAGCAAATGATCTCACCTTTCGGATGAGGATTCTGTTCCTCAGCCCCATTCCCTGCCCAGCACTGGGATGGGGATGCAGGGCCAGGATGGGACCACAGTGCTGGTACAGAACCAGTCCAGCATCACCCGTGCAGGACCAGCCCTGCTGCAGCACAGGCAGCTCAGCACCGGGGGCTAAATGGAGATTTAAAAGCTCCAGGTTTCCTTTACCACAGTCACACCCACAGAGAGAGGGAACATCCCCAAAATCGGGCAGAAAATAAGAAAACGTGGCACTGAGGGAGTACAGGATGTCCACATCTCACCTGGATCAGCATCACCTGCTCTCATCAGATAACCCCCCCTCCTTCTGGGAATCTCCATCCTCGGTGGGTTCAGCTAGAATCCCTTCTGCTTCCCCGGGATTTAGGTGCCCCCACCCCAGCAAACCCCTCCTCTCTCCCCGCTTTTCTGGGAGCTGAGCGACCCTGCGCTTCCCCACGCAGCCCAAAAATCCCAGAAAAAGCTTTTCTGCCTCTGCTCCTGCCTCCCCCTCCCCGAATCTCCCGCCCGCCCTCCCCCCGTCCTGTTGAACTCCAAATATTTGCACCCAAACCCATCTCGCGGGGAAAAAGCCCAAATTAAAATAAAAAGGAGAAAAACCACAAACCCGACAAAAACAAACAGATAGGAAAAATAAATAAGGGAAAATATCCCCTTTGAAAGGCTGAATGAAGCGGGGAGCTAAAAAGCCCCATTGAGGAGCGGGCGGATGATAGCTCCGATTGAGCCCGCGGGAGAAGGAACTCTGTTCAAGCTAATTAGGGCCTTTTAGGACATTCAGCCCGGCGATGCCAGCAGAACGGTGAGGAAAAGAGCCTCCTAATTGGCTTCCTGCTGGGGTGTCAGTCCCAAAGTCTTTATTATCCCTCCCTGCACCTTTTCAACCCTTTCTTCCCTCCCTGGCCCTGCTGAAAGCCTGGGCTGCCCCGGCATCGCTCACCCCGCTGCCTCTCCAGCACGGTTTGTTCTCAAAAAACAAATTGCCGTGGCTATGGGGCTGGTGGGGCTGTGGGGGACCCTTCCATGGCCAGGAGGGTCAGGTGGGAGCACCCCAGTGCCAGCACTGGGACAGTGTCTCCACACCTGAACCAGCCCCAGCGCACGGCTCTGGCTCACTGTGAAGCTGCAGGAGCGATGCTGAGTGAGAAAAGAGAAGGGAGAAGCTCATTCCAGCTCCCCTAATCCCTGCTCCAGGGGCACCTCGTCCCTATTCACTGGGATCTCCTGCCTGAGACACCTCTTGGGCCACCCACACCTTCCTAGGGTCTGCTGCAGCCCACAGGGCAGCCCTACACAGAACCGGGTGTGTCACCCAAAATTCCAATAGAACTGAGTGAGTGTCACCCAAAATTTCAACAGATCCAGGTGTGAGTGTCACCCAAACCCCCAACAGATCCGTGTGTGAGTGTCACCCAGAATTCCGATAGAACTGAGTGAGAGTGTCACCCAAAATTCCAACAGAACCAGGTGTGAGTGTCACCCAAAATTCCAACAGGACCAGGTGTGAGTGTCACCCAAAATTCCAACAGAATCGGGTGTGAGTGTCACCCAAAATTCAAATAGTATTGAGTGAAAGTGTCACCCAAAATTCCAATAGAACTGAGTGTCACCCAAATTTTTAACAGATCTGGGTGTGAATGTCAGCCAAAATTCCAACAGAACTAAGTGTGAGTGGCTCCCAAACCTCTAATAGATCCGGGTGTGAGTGTCACCCAAAATTCCAACAGATTCAGGTGTGAGTGCCACCCAAAATTCCAACAGAACTGGGCGTGAATGTCACCCAAACTTCCATCACCCAAACCTCCAACAGAACCGAGTGTGAGCTGCCCCAGGGCTGCACCACCCTCTGAAGTCTCCCGGGAATTATGGGGGACTGGATGCAGGTGACAGGGAACTGCTTGCTGCTCATCCCCACAGCAAAAAATATTTTAAATATTTTAAAATATTCAAAAGCTGCGGCAGATAACGGCATAGTGAGAGGGGACCTGGTGTCATCATAACCAGAAGACACTGGAAAACACTTGGAAAATGTGAGTCTCCTGCAGATGCTGGGATAGCCCCCAAATGAGGGTCCAGACTTGGGTGTGCTCATCCCAAGTGACACAGGGCATCGCTGTCCCTCCACACCTGGCAGGTCTGGCACTCCCAAACCTGCACACAGCCAGCACGGCTGTGGCCGGGGGGCCCTGGGGACACCCCCGTGGGGACACTCCTGCCCCGCATCCCCGTGGCTCGTCCCTGCACAGGGGACACTCACCATAGTCCTTCTTACAGTACTTCTTCATGTTGATCTTCAGCTTCCCCTTGGAGGCTTTGCAGTACGAGTCACAATCTGCGCGGGGAGAGGGGGAGGGCAAGAAAACATTAACAAAACAAATCAGCCTGCAAATGCAGAAAGCGCTGGGGGAAGGGGAGCGGCTCCGAGGCGCGGGCTGCCGTGAATAAGCAGCGTGCCTGTGATATCCATCTGCCGGGATGGGGCCATTGAGAAACCCTTCCTTTCTAAAGAAAGCTGCTCACAAAGGAGCCCGGCCTCCTCCGCCTCCCCCGGCCCGTCTTCCCCGGCCGCCTCTGTCTTCCTGGGAGACCCGGGGGCCTCCCTTATTGTGCCACCCAGGGCTTTTGAGAGCCACACAAATTCCCGCTGTTCTGCAGCTCCCACTGGAGCCTGCCCGGAGCCCACAGAGGCCCCATTGTCACCCCTAACCCGGGCCGGTGTCAGCCTTTGGCATTCATTGCCGGCAGATTCGGGCCGGGGTCAGCCCGCCACAATGCGGGTCACGGAGGAAATTAGCAGCCCATGAAGCATTAGCAAAGCCTTTTGGTGTCCACTCTACTGAAGTGTGCAAATAAAATACCCCAGGGGGAACATTTCATTTCTAATGGGCCCCCACTGCTGGGACACGCTGGCCTGGCCCGGCGGCCGGCGGGAGCCTGGCACGGCCCCATGGCACTGCCACCGCTGCTGGCCATGGGCCACGGGCCATGGGCACGGCCCTGGGGCCTGCAGGGACACCGAGCCCTGCCCTGGAGCCTGCAGGGACACTGAGCCCTGCCCTGGGAGCCTCCAGGGACACCGAGCCCTGCACTGGAGCCTGCAGGGACACTGAGCCCTGCCCTGGGAGCCTCCAGGGACACTGAGCCCTGCACTGGAGCCTGCAGGGGCACTGAGCCCTGCCCTGGAGCCTGCAGGGACACCGAGCCCTGCCCTGGAGCCTGCAGGGACACCGAGCCCTGCACTGGAGCCTGCAGGGACACCGAGCCCTGCCCTGGAGCCTGCAGGGGCACTGAGCCCTGCCCTGGGAGCCTCCAGGGACACTGAGCCCTGCCCTGGAGCCTGCAGGGACACCGAGCCCTGCACTGGAGCCTGCAGGGACACCGAGCCCTGCCCTGGAGCCTGCAGGGGCACTGAGCCCTGCACTGGAGCCTGCAGGGGCACTGAGCCCTGCACTGGAGCCTGCAAGGACACCGAGCCCTGCACTGGAACCTGCAGGGGCACTGAGCCCTGCACTGGAGCCTGCAGGGACACTGAGCCCTGCACTGGAGCCTGCAGGGACACTGAGCGCTGCTCTGGGTGCTGATGGCCCTGCAGTGGGTGGGCAATGCCCTCCATACACTGCTGAGCACAGCCCCATGGCACCAGGCCCGTGCCAGTGTGGCTGCAGAGGGGCTGGGCCATGCCAGCTGCCAGGCCCGGGGTGGGCTCGTGGACGTGCTGCCTGTGCCCATCCACGGCTCCTCAGCACCCATAGAATGGCCTGATCCAGGGAGAAGGGACAGGGCTGCCTGCAGCAGGAGGCCTTGGCACACTCACAGCCCTTGGAGGCCTCAGCACTGTCACAGCCCTGGAGGCCTCCATCTCTCCCAGCATCATCCTTCCCCAGCCATTGCTGGGGCATAGGTGCCAGCAGCACTGCTGAAGAGCCCCAGGAAGCTGTGGGGAAGGTGGCAATGCTGCTGGCATGCCATGACCAGCTCACACTGGGTGCTAAGACCATGAGGAACCCCCTCAGCACCAAGGCCTGTGACCCCTGTGTGCTCTAGCCCCTCTCATGTGGCCATGCAGAGTCCCCCAGGCTCCCTGCTGCTCCTGCTCCTCAGGAGACACCCTCAGGCAAACCAGGCTTCCTGCTCTTCCAGCATGACCCAGCCAGGCCCAAACCCAAATCCAAACCAAACCCAAACCCAAACCCTGTGATCTTCCTCCTGCCAGAGCCCCAGCTGAGATCTGTGCCCAGCTACAGCCTGGCCAAGGCCCCTCCAAGCCCTGATGGCTGAGGTTTTCCAGCCACTTGTGCCTCCCATTTGTTTTTCTCATCTGACAGGAGACACATGATGTGAGACTCCTGCACCATTTGTCCCCAAATGTTTATGTGACAAACCTCAGGAGTCCCAAGGCCTGTGCTGCCTGGCTGTGCCAGAGGCTCCTTGTCCTGCACGTCCCTCTCCATGAGACTGCAGAGGATCAGCCTGGGACATCCTGCCCATGGGAGGTGATGCCAGAGTCCAGCCACAAGGAGGCTGAGAATTCCCAGAGCTGCCTGAGGGACACCCTTCTGCTATGGGGAGTCAGTGTCCAGCTCCTCTCCTGCAGGAGTGATGAGGGGGCAGCAGGATGGGCCCAGCTCCCTGTCCCACTGTGCTGCACAAGTGTCCCCTGCTCAGGGGGCAGAGCAGGGCTTGGTGCTCACCCTGCTGCTGTCCTGCCTGTCTTGCTGACCCAGGACTTCCCTGAGCCCCTCTCAGCCCGTGTCCAGCCCAGCCACCCTTGTGAAGCACTCGCCCCTGGTGCAGGACAAACCCATGGTGACATCCCAGCCTTTCCTCCAGGTTTGCTCAGCTGCGCAAATATTCCAGTGCAAATCCCAGTTCCAGAGCCACGAGCCCAAACACAGCCAGCCCCTGGTGGTTTTTGGGTCAGCCCTGCATGCCCCGAGCTGGGGGAGCAGCAGCTCCCAGCCATGAGCAGAGCAGGAGGGATGGGAGCAGCAGCTCCCCAGGATGAGCAGAGCAGGAGGGATGGGAGCAGCAGCTCCCAGCCATGAGCAGAGCAGGAGGGATGGGAGCAGCAGCTCCCCAGGATGAGCAGAGCAGGAGGGATGGGAGCAGCAGCTCCCAGCCATGAGCAGAGCAGAGGGACCGGGATGGGAGAGGCGCTGGAGCCTCTGGCTCGCAGAGGGAGCAGGTGGCGGGCGGCTGCTTCGTGTCGCTCGCAGCTCAGTAAAACGTGTCAGCACAGCCTTCAGCAACTTTGCAGCTCAGCCCATCCCCTTGATAGAGCTAATTCTCTGGCTGGGCAGAGACTTTTCACAGCTAAACACCTTCTTTGTTTTCCTTAATTTCTTTTTTTCTTTTTTCTTTTGCAGAAAGTTGATTTTTTTTTCTGTTTAAACATCTTTGGTTTGGGGGTTGTCTGGGGTTGCTGTGATGAGGCTGAGAGCTGCAGGGTGCTGAGTGCCCATCCCGTGATTTGTTAGTGGATCTTGCTCTCCCGGAGCGCCGATGCTGCCGGGGCTGGGCAGGAGGGAGGTGCTGGCAGCAGAGCTGCGGGTGCTGAGTGTTGCTGCAGGGAAGGGAAACCCTGCATGCACCAGGCGCCTCTTGCTGCACTCTCAGCCCCAAGCTCAGCTCTGAGCCGCTGCAAAAGCCACATGTCGGGAACGGAAATTAAAGGCCCCTTGATTCTGACATGATAGAGCGATTAAAGCCACATTTCTTGGCCTGGGTACCTAACTGGAAATGCAGATATAAGGTTTAGATCCCCAAGGGGATTCAGATTCCTAATCCGAATTTATGCAGCTAAATTCCTATTGATTTCCCCCAGGTAGGGCCCTAAATGCCTTTGTGGGCTGTGATCCAAGGTGGAGGTGTTGTGGCTTAGGAGGGAGCCCCGGCCCTGACAGCCTGAGCCCAGCACTGGGGTGAGGGGCATTGTCCTGCCCTCCCTGCCAGGCCTGTGCTCTCTGAGGCTCTGCAGGTGGGCTCTGGGTGCCCACATCTCCTGCTGTCACTGGTGGGGATGTGCAGCCAGACTGAGCCACTAAAGGAAGGTGCAGCCCCAAACAGCAAATCCTAAATCCGTTATTCCCTTACCAGAGAGAGCAGGACTGAGAACACGGGAGTGGGGTCTGCCTTGGGTCCCAGACACTCCCAGAGTGGGGCAGGGCAGACCAGCAGGGCTGGCTTGGTTTGCTGCAATGCAAGGGAAGGCTGTGCTGAACAGCTTTTGGGTTCCTGCCCTTTTCTCTACCTCCCCAGAGTTCCTGGTCAGAAATCCTCTGTGCATGAGCTGCCCCTCACCATGGGGGTGAGCAGCAGTGACCATGGGGACACAGCAGCTTCCAGCTCCCCTCTGGCTCTGGCCAAATCTGAGCTAAACCTCTCCAGAGGAGGCCCTGAACCTGCACAGGGCTGCATCCTCAGCTGTGGCTGGGGCCTGGAGGAAAAGCTCATGGGGCAAAAAAGGGGTGCCTGAGGGGCTGGAGGAAAAGCTCCTGGAGCAAAAGGGGAGTGCCTGAGGGGCTGACCTCGGGGAGGGCAGGGGCAGCAATGTTGTGTGTCTGCTCTGGGGCTGAGTGTGGGCTCAGAGCTGGATGCTCAGAGTGTTCCTCTGGGCATGAAAACCTTTCTGTGAGCTACCCAGAGCAGCCCAAAGGCAGCTGGGAGCCACACTCCCAAGGGACACGGGATAAAATGCAATCCAGCCCTCGGACAGGAGAGGATGGCCCTGTAGCAGTGGTGGCAGGGATGCCTTTGGCTCTCAGAGCTCTGGAGATTTCCCCAGATGACCACAAGCTCCTGCTTCACTTCCCACAGCACTGAGGCTGCCCCTTGCTTCCATCCCAAAGAATTTCTTTACCATGTCCCCCATCAGTCCCAGGGATGACTGCTGGAGTCATTTGGAGAGCTCCAGCCCTGCTTTCCCCAGGCTGCTGGCTCTGGGCCTGTGCTGAGCTCTAGGGAAGGAGGGGGTGCTCTGCAGGAGCCCCTTGCTCTCCCAGGGAGCAGGGATGGGCTCATCCCCATGGGACAAGCTCAGGGACTGCAGCCTCTGGCTCACAGTGACCCTGAGGGATCACTGCTGTCATTTAATTTGTGCAGGACTCCACTGGGAGTCTTTGTCTCGGAGCTGGCTGCTTTAATGTAAAGAAGCTTTAATAAAATAGCAAAGCTAAGGCAGAGAATCCTCCCCAGGTTATTCATTTCAGCAGTGGCATCGTTTGTCCTGTGCTTTGCTGCACCCTTGTCTGGCCACTGAATGGACAGGGGCCTGTTATCTCTAAACTGGGTCTGTTATCACTAAACTGGGTCTGTTATCAGTAAACTGGGTCT